AGTCCTTGTGAGGGCAAATCCTTGCCTAGCATATTCGACAGTTTGGAGATAATAGGGCAAGACACCCTTAATTGCTGTTAATGCAATCTCACGTTGTCTTGTACTGTCTTTCAGGTATTTGAAGAAAATGGCAGTGCAATCTATAAATCTGGAGTGTCATATTTTCCTGCGTCTTCTTGGTGTATCTTGTCCTTCTGATCCCTCCCTCTGGAGGATTTGCAGCAGTTAATGTTCTTCCTGGGTTTGTGCAAGATATTCTTGCCACTGTGTCTTTCTTCGCTGTTGTCACAGAATTACAAAGCTTACAATGATTCCAGCAATAGCAATATCCATATAAGCTCTTTTAACAGATAATCTGTGGGTAGTATCACAAAGATGACATAACATAATTGAAGGAATGCCTGACCCATATGTTATTCTCTCTCAAAGTGTGGCATAGAGACTTCCCAATGGGGTAATAGCATTACCTTGATAAGGAGCTTTGAGGTAAATTCTCTGAACCAATTGCGTGGTGGACAACCAAATTGTTTATGCCATTCTGGGATTGAATTTTGCCAGAAACATGCCATGACTGTAGTTGTTCCCACCCTTCCCAAGACAAGGCTCCTTTCCAGATTGCAGCTTATGGTCCTTGTATTCTCACATTTCGTTAAGAGAATCTGGCAGCTGTGATGTATTGTCTTCCAAAACTTGCTGTGGAATGTGGTTGGCAAATAGGAACTTCAGATTCCACTTTTGATTTCCTTGCTATCATGACATTTTGTTTAACTCGTATGACATGGAGGCAGTAATGCACTCAATGTAATACTCATTGTTTTAAGTAATAATTTGAAGTCTGTATTCTTGGACAATTAATGTCCTGCCAATGAAGTGCAAATTGAAACCAATTGGACGGCACTACTTAATTAGTGGTTGTGTGATTATTGCAACTGAGAAGGGTCTCAAAACTAAATTTGTTTACTCTATTCCGGAAGGAAAAAAATATGAAATTACTCAGCCCACTTTGCAGTAGTTACCATTTTTAAAGTTTTTATGCAACTGACTTTTGATTTGATGTGACGACATGGTTCCATCTTGGACTTTACGTGTGTGACATGCAGCCTCTGTCTGTAATGAAATTGCCCCCATCCTTGTGTTCCCTTTTCTGTTGCTGCCTTAGTGGCTCCGATAACCTTTAATCTTTCCATGTTTCTGTTGAGCCCCTTTACATTAAAATTAACATGCCCACTGTACCCACAGAAATCCTGCCTTTTGCAATTCCTGTACTCTTGTTGATCCTATACGTCCCCATCTAGAGACCTAATTCAACACCTACTAGCCCCCATAAGAGTTTCCGGTCTCCCTAACTCCTTCCAAATAACAATAGGATGCCAGCCTACTACCTGCAATTGCCCCTGATCACAGGTGCCATTCTCTCAGTAACCCAATAGAGTAAAACCATTCCTAGGACTCCATAGACTTTCTCCTGGTGAGCTCCCTGACCTTTATTGACCAAACATACATGACTGACTGTGGCCTAACCCCTGGTCTGACTTAGCTAGATGCCCAGACTCAATCATCCAACCTTGGACTGATGTCTCCACAGTACCCTGACTGACCTATCAGTAATCTCTGGACTGTTTGCACTTGGCTCCTAGGATTGTGTGTGACCCAGCCCCTGCAGTGCAAGGACTATGATCCCTGGTCTCTTATAGGGCCTAGTGCATGACTCACCATGGGCAACCCCCCAGTCTGTTAGCATACAAATCCCTTGACAGACCTCCTGTGGCAGTATGTCCTGAATGACTTTAGACTTCCTTCACCCAGCTAAGGACATTCCTCCTTTACATTGTGACAGTACAAAAGTCAATGGAGAAAATGTGCCAATAATCATGCCCCGCTGTTCCACAATCTGTCATCAAATGTTTAATTGTATAAATCCTGATAAGACCTCCAAAGTGTCTAATCTACCTGACTGACTGGTATTCATGCCAATTCATGCCAGATTTCTTCAGCAACATTTAAAAAAAAATTCTATTTATTTTACTGCACTTAATTTGATCATTAGCAATGAAAATCAAAATCCCAAAAACACACATGCACTCAATTATGATTAGGACAGATAAAAGACAAATGGTTTAATACATATTATGGTTGGAAAAAGAACGTAGACATTGTAAACAATATTCTGAAGTTCAGATGTCCAGACCTCAAGATAGAAGGTTGTTTTTATAGAGCCATAGAGATATAGAGCTCGGAAACAGACCTTCGTCCACCTGGCTCAGTTCCATTTGCCAGCATTTTGCCCATATCCCTCTAACCACTTACTATTCACATACCCATCCAGATGCCTTTTAGATGTTGTAATTGTACCAGCCTCCACCACTTCCTCTGGCAGCTCATTCCATACAAGCACCACCCTCTGTGTGAAAATGTTGCCCCTTAGGTCCCTTTTTAAATCTTTCCCCTCTCACCTTAAACCTATTTCCTCCAGTTTTGGACTCCCCTACCCCAGGGAAAATACCTTGCCTATTTACCCTACCATACCCCTCATGATTTTATAAACCTCTATAAGGTCACCCCTCAGCCTCCGATGCTCCAGGGAACGAAGCCCCAGCCTATTCAGCCTCTCCCTATAGCTCAGGACCTCCAACCCTGGCAACATCCTTGTAAGTGTTTTCCGAACCCTTTCAAGTTTCATAACATCTTTCCTATAGAAGGGAGACCAGAACTGCACACAATACTCCAAAAGTGGCCAAACCAATCTACTGTACAGCCGCAACATGACCTCCCAACTCCTATACTCAATGCACTGACCGATAAAGACAAGCATACCAAACGCTGCCTTCACTGTCCTGTCTACCTGGGAGTCCACCTTCAACAAACTATGAACCCGCACTGCAAGGTCTCTTTGTTCAATTGCACTCCCCAGGACCTTACGATTAAGTGTGTATGTCCTGCCCTGATTTAACTTTCCATAATGAAGCACCTCACATTTATCTAAATTAAACTCCATTTGCCACTCCTTGGCCCATTGGCCCATCTGATCAAGATTTCGTTGTACCCTGAGTTAATCTCCTTTGCTATCCACTAAGCCTGCAATTTTAGTGTCATGTGCAAATGTACTAATCATATCTGCTGTGTTCACATCCAAATCATTTATATAAATGACAAAAAGCAGTGGACCCAGCGCAGCTCCTTACGGCATACTGCTGGTCATAGACCTCCAGTCTGAAAAGCAACCCTCCACCACTACCCTCTGTCTTCAACCTTCGAGCCATTTTGTATCTAAATGGCTAATTCTCCCTGTACTCCGTGTGATCTGACCTTGGTAACCAGTCTACCATGAGGAGCCTTGATGAACGCCTTATTGAAGTCCATATAGATCATGTTTGCCGCTCTGCCCTCATCAATCCTCTTTGCTACTTTTCAAAAAACTTGATCAAGTTAGTCAAACACGATTTCCCACCACAAAGCCATGTTGACTATCCCTAATCAGTCCTTGCCTTTCCAAATACATATAAATCCTTTTCCTCAGGATTCCCTCCAATAACTTGCCCACCACCAATGTCAGGCTCACTGGTCTATAGTTCCCTGGCTTTTCCCTACCACCTTTCTTTAATAGTGGCACAATGTTAGCCAACCTCCAGTCTTCTGGCACCTCACCTGTGGCTATTGATGATACAAATAACGCAGCAAGGGGCCCAGCGACCTCTTCTCTCGCTTCCCACAGAGTTCTACGGTGCACCTGATCAGGTCCTGGGGATTTATCCACCTTTATGCATTTTAAGACGTTCAGCACTTCCTCCTCAGTGATATGGACATCTTCCAATTCTTGGTCCTTTTATTTTTTGCAGTAATGATGTACTATTATCTGGAGGTTAACAGTCCGTTCTTCAAAACAGTGTGAGATCCTGTGAACATGGGTCTTTTCTGGTAGGAATTCTTTCCTTTAAACTCTCTGGTTTTTTTCTGTCTTTTTCCTCACATCGAGAGTGATTGGGGGAGAAATGGATGCTTTCTGCTTGCGGGCTGTGGGTGTCTCTTCCATTCTGCTACTCTTGGCACTTGCAGCATTTCAGCACTGCAGCTCAGACAATCAGAGGGCTGTTGTAAGGCACAGCTTCAATACCTCGAAAGATTCTTGGTGCAGTTCTATCTCATTTTGCTTCCTTTTTTGAAAAAAAGCCATATTGTATTGCACAGTTCAACAATATGAAAACTTGATGTTCAAGTTGCAAAATTTTCCTAGTATTCCAGTTATGACACTCCAATTTCCATTTCAGTTGCTATTTCTTAAAAAAGTTAAAATACGTAGTCTCTTTCAACACATTACCATCAACTTGAAGCATTGCAGTTTGTTTGTTGCATAAGCTACTGGCATATGCTGCATCTATGATGTTGACACGTGCTGGTGTAGAGTGATATGACCATCTCTTGTCTAAGTGGTACATTTACCGTTCAATGTTCCCACTATCACAAGCTATCTGCCTGTCCCCCTCTCTCAAGCGTTAAACCATTGAGACTGAAGCCTGTAACTTGGTGCTCAAGACTTTGTGTGCTAAAAAGCAATAATGTCACCCATAGAGAGACTGATACCTTGCAATCTAATATTAAAGTTCGTGTACTCTAAGAAAATAGGGTCACCCACTCAGAGCTGGATGTGTTCAAGTAAGTTTGAAAGTCAGTGATTGCTAACAAAGCAAGCTAAGAGCCATAAGATGCCTGTATTCATGTCAGTGAAAAAGCATCCTGAATCTCCTGTTTGGCTATCCTTGCATGCAAAGCGACTTCGTAAAAGCTTGTAAATCATAGGCGTCCTTCATCTCCAGGGTGGAGTGTTAAAGGCGCAGTGCCTTAGAAGTAGTTCAAGGGAAAGATTCTGAAGTTGCCATTTCGGAGTTGAGGGGAAAATCATTGAAAGTTTCTCTTGAAGTCAAGAATCAGATTTTTTTTTCATTCTCAATTTCAGTTCAGTCACCTCAGTGCCATTACTGTTGCCATAACAGTGGGGGGAGGGAATGATCCACACCAGGAAATTGAGTAGGAGATACAGACGAAACCTCTTGCCCCAAAGAGTGCAAGTTACAGCTGAAGCATATGGTTTAGATGCACTTAAGGGCAAATTAAACAAACATTTGAAGGAGAAGGGAATCGATGGTTGCACTGGTAGGTTCAGATGTGAAAAGATAGGAGAAGCCTTAAACCGAGTTTAAGTAGTCATGTTTGAGCTGACTGGCCTGTTTCTGTGCCATATATCCAATGTAAAGATGGTGTTAAACTATTCAAGGAAAAGGTTGCTGAAGACAGTATCTCAAATGACATGTTTTGAAGTTTTTTTCAATGTGAAGCTATGAAGGAATGTATTGTGTACTAGGAAATGAAAGGCAAGTCTATATACTAAGACTAGGCTGATATAATTTATTCAGGATCATTGAAGGAATGTCACTGGGAAAGTACCATGAGTTTGGAAATGTGACATTCATACTCACTTTAAAAGAAAACAATAAAATTGACCCATGTTACCACATTCAGAAGTTAAGAATACCATAAAATGCATTTTTGAGGGGAAATTGGATTAGTGCATGAAGGGAGAAGAGAAAGAAGAACAATATGTCGATAGTGAGATTTAGTAGTTACACCACTGCAGACCAGTTAGTCTAATTGGTCAATTTGTGTGGTGTTTTAAAAAAATAACTTGCATCTTTGTAAAATAATGAGATAAAATATCAAAAGTAAACTGGAAAATTCTGCCCAAGAATAATGTAGTAAACGGAATTTTAAAAAATTCTCCAGGCTAAGACTTTGACATTAGCCATAAGGCAGGTTGTACACACATTCCATGTGAAAGGCTTGAAGATAGTGAGATGAAAGCAAAGTCCTACTGTAGGACTTCACCTGTGGAGGGCAGGCCTCTCAGGGTTCAGGAAACCTGATGACTAAAAGGAGAAGACTGGATTCTTGAGCTGACCGTGTCTGCAGCGCTGGTGTGAGCAAATTTCATGTAACCATTCTTGTTTTTGGATTTTTTTTCTTGTTTTTTTGTTTTCTAAAGGGAGTGAAAGATGTAAACTGAACATCAGAAAATGCATACCAGCTATCCGATCAAGAGACCTTACAATTCAACTGTGCAAATCAGTTAGAGATTCTCTGAGTGTTTCCAGTTCTCTAAAAACTTTGGAGTTAGAAGGATTACCCTTGAGACATGGAGATCTTCTGACATTAACAAAGGTGAGGAAACATCAAAGTGGTATTAGCATGTAAGTAAAGATACTGGTAATGTCTGTTCATTACGTTCAGCAGTCTGTTCAAGTACGTTCTTAAGATGAATGATATATGAGCTGTCTCAGTCATATAAAAAATCATAAATATGTCCAGCACAGAAGGAAACAATTTGGCCCATTGTACATTTTGACTCTTCAAAGGAACAGCCCCAGATTGCTTATTTTTGTCTGTAACCCTATAATTTCCCTACCTATATGTACTGTCCACACTCATTCAAAATTATTTCTGGAATATTGAGGTTGGTTGGCTCGCCGAGCAGGTTTGTTGTTTTGCAGACGTTTCGTTACCATGCTTGATACCATTCAACACATTGAACTCGACCCCATATACATTCCACTACGAAGGAAACCCAGAAGTGAGGCAATCCATCTCAACGGACCCCAGAGTTTAAAAACCAGGGGGGAAAACACACCGACGCTTCATCGGAGGCTGCACTGAGGATGTTACCAAGCATGGTAACGAAACGTCTGCAAAACAACAAACCAGCTCGGCGAGCCGACCAACCTCAACGCCCACAATCTGAGCTACAGATCTACTCCAAAACCTTAGATATTCCTGGAATCTTTTTCCAGCACTTTTTCAGGTGGAATATTCTAGATCCCAACAGCTGTCTAACTGGGGAGACAATTCTTATCTCCCTTCTCAACTCTTTTGCCAGTGATTTTAAATCTAACCTGTGGTTATCGATTCTCTCATCAAAGGGAATTTTTTTCTGTATTAATGGGAATCTGGGAATATTTCTGAAGAAAACAAATGACTAAACATTGTGCAGTAGAAAAAAGTGCATCTGTTTTAGACTTATGACACAAATATTAGCTTGTAGTAAGTAAACTTTGTCGAAATTAAATTTTTGTTTAAGAATATAGGAACAAGAATAGGCCATTCAACCCTTCAAATCTGTTCTGTCATTCATTAGCATTATGGTCCTCAACCCCACCAACCTGCCTCAGGTCCACAACTCTTTAAACCCTTATCCAAGAAAACATCAATCCATCTCAGATTTAAAATTATTAATTGAGGGAGAGTGTTCCATGCTACTTCCATGTTTTGCATCAGAAGATGTGGTTTTCAACATTTTTCCTGCATGTCCCTATTCTGATTTTAAAGTTAAAGTTATGACTTTTTTATGTCTCCTCATCGCAGACTTCGCCAGTGGAAAGGTTTCTCTCCATCCATTGTACCAATTCCCTTAAATATCTGAAAAAAGCGTAGTCGACACAGTTAGCTAAAAGCCTAAATGGAGTGATTATAAAGCAGCTTATTGAAAGTATGCTACGTAATTTAAGCTTGAAAGGCTGTCTACTGATCAGAATTTTGTAATACAGTCTGGATGTATTGGATACAATGTATCAGTGACATCTGTGGACTGCTGATGCCTCTGCCTGTTAGTATGCTCCAGAGTGAGTGCTTTCTCTGACGACAAACACTTAGTGATTTGCTCAATCAATTAGAACAGGAAGTTTACTGCTTCTATCTTCAAACTATGTTGAGTTTACTGATTTTGACAAGGGTAATGGAATAGGTGTTGCTCAGGCCTCAGTGTCACTGGTTTGGCAAGGAAAAACGATTATTTCTTGTTCTTCAACAGAAACAAATACTGCACAACTGCAGTTATGAAGTAAAACAAAGTCTTGGAGAAACTCAGCAGGTCTGGCAGCATCTGTGAAGAGACAAACAGAATTAAGGTTTTGCGTCCAATATGACACTGTTTCAGTTCTGTTCCTCTTTCCTGTTCTTGATAGCTATTTAATAATTTCTTGTTGAAATTACCTATGTGGATAATAGGTGAGGACATAACTCCTAATGCCTGTGACTCTTGCTGCGAAGGATTACATCTTATTACTATCCCTCAAGTTAGATGCTAGAAAGTGCCTATGGAATTATGCTACAGCCAGTTGTCTATGGAAGGGTTTTTAGATCTATCTTTTGACAGATGGGAAGTTGAGGAGTAGTTTTAATTTGCTAAATTGAAATATTGGGACCCTTTTCAGAGCTATATCATTGATTTCAAAATTTAAATAAGACTCTGTTTCTTAAAGTTTGAGGGCCAGTTGAATTTAACAGCTGTAGTTGGGTTTAGCCTGATTGGACAAATCCAGCACTTAAATGACGTAGGAACCGGTGAGCTCTTGCAGGTAACTACTTTTCAAGCACTGCTTGTGAGCCAGGAAAAATAGGTGTATTTCTGCATGCTGTTTTTAAATTTGTTCATGGGATGAGGGCGTCGCTGGATAGCCCAGCACTTATTGCCCATCCCTGATTGCTCAGACCGCACTTAAGAGTTAACTGCATTGTAGGTTTGGAGACGCATGTAGGCCAGACCAGATAAATATGGTAGTTTCCTTTCCTAAAGGACATTAGTGAACCAGATGGGTTTTTACCAACAATTGACAATGATTTCACGGTCATCATTAGACTCTTAATTCCAGCTTTTTATTGAATTTAAATTCCACCATCTGTTGTGGTGGGATTCGAACCTGGCCTGGATCTCTGGATTAACAGTCCAGCAATAATACCACAAGGCTGTTGCCTCTCCCTTCAAGGAAATTTTCTACTACTGCTTTCCTCCCCATTCTGCCACCAACATCTCTGCTTCCAAACACTGCCCTTTCCTTTCAGACATCTCTCTCTCTCTCTCTCTCTCCTCCCCCCCTCTCTCTCTGCTCACTACCCCCCAGAAAAAGAAACTGTTGTGTACTCTGATCCCTCCACTCAAGTCTACAGACCCATGAGTCTTGTGATTGCCAGATTTCTTCTCAGTGAGTCTTGTCTTCTCCTTAAGACTGCAGATTTCCTGCCAGGCCAGTGGCTGCTCCGTGGGAAATGTAATGAAGGAAACATAACATGGTGTTGTTGCTAAATCTTTAGCACTTCCAGGTTTCCCAGTTGCTGACACAGAATCTTGTCTCCTCCTAGCCTTTCTGTTCATGTGGGAACCAAAGCCTTCAAAATTGCCTAAAATATTGAAACTTAATTAACTCGGTTGATCAAATGGCAATTATTAGTTAACTATAAAGAAGGAAATTAGTCAGTATGAATTCTTTCAAATTTAATTGTGGCAACCAGATATTGCTAATGCACTTTGTATATAATTTTCGTAATCCCTTTTTGATATGTTAATTGTAAATGTTATGTGCAAATTTATTTAGGGTCTATCCAGGACAAAAACACTACAGAACCTTTCATTAGCACGTTGTCCAATAGGAGATGACGGACTGGAAAGTAAGTTACTTGTTTCCACCAGGCTTGTATTACTAAGGGATTCATAATATTTCATAATCACAGCTCATTAAATCTAATGGTTTTTATTTAGTCATTTGCCAGAGTGTGAAGAATTCAGCAACTATCAAAACAGTCAACTTCACAGGCTGTAACATAACATGGCGTGGAGCAGAGCATATGACCAGCATTATTAAGGCAGGTTTTTATTAATTTCTCATTTCTGAGGTATCTTACTTGACAGTTTTAAATCGCAAGTATAATAAGCAATTCAACAGAAATGTTTATCTTGCACTATAACTAAAATGTTATGTGCATATGTTTTATACAGTATCAAGCAACAAAAAGACACAGTCAAGTCTGGGCAGAGAGTCTTCGATATAGGCATCCTGATCTAGATTGCATGACTGGTTTGCGGCGCATTACCATGAACTGTAACACATTAATTGGTGATACTGGAGCTATTGCCTTTGCAGATGCCCTCAAAGATGATCTTTGGCTGAAAGGTAGGTTGAACCGAAAGCATGATTGTAGTTTTCAATATATAGTGAATTTTAGATGTAAAGCATGACTTTCTTTCTGTTTGAAAGAAAATGTATAGGATAAATATAATCCTGTTTGCTCCTATCCAATGGAGCTAATGAGCAATTTATTGCTCAGTTGGTTAATAAACTAACCATGGCAGCCCACTAGCTCAATGATACAGAATAAGAAGTTCCCAGGAATGATCTTTGGTTTCCTAAATTTGCTAATCTTAGTAGGGTTGCACTTGAGTCCCCATACAAGAGAGATGGAAAATCATCCATTATTTGTCTCCTGAACCCTAACCTTGCTGCGCTGATACCAAAAGGACATGGGGTTTTGCTGACTCTTGCACAACAGATTATCCATCACTTTGGTTTTGTTGACATTTGAACTGGTCCTCGGTTGACAATTTGGTGAGAAGCAAAAATGCAATCCTGTTTTCCTTGAATAGAAATTCTTTGTTGACAGTGCTAAGAAGGTTATGCTCATCCTTGAATAAGCCTGATGGCATACTGAACAAGGGCAGCAAAGTAAAGGTCACAGCAACATATACCATCAAATTACTTTGTGTGTATCAAAGGGGATCATCTTTCAAATAATTCTTTTGCTAGAAAACAGTTATGCATGTAGGCTCGTCTCTGAAGTCTGCAAACTATTTTTAATTTCTAATTCGGAATAGTTTTTAGATTTCAAGGACCACACTACCACCATGCCCTTCCAGAAATGCTGGCTAGCGGGGAAAATTGCACTTTAACTTTTGAAGTTGCTATTGTACACTTAATAATTACAAGTTGGCATTTGGTAGAGACCTTCTTACTGTAGTACGTGGCCGAAGGGAATTCAAAAGAAGAAAATACTTGGGATCCAGGGAACTGAAAACAAAACTCCATTGAATACATTTGGAAAAAAATGTATGGATTCTGTAAAAGCAATACAGCAGTGAGCATCTTTGTAGAGAATAGGCAAGTTGCTGTTTACCTTGAACTAACCATCACAACTGGATTAGATATCACATAAGCAAGATATAAACAGGATTAGAATCCAGAGAAGCAATAGGGGAACACATCTAAACACATTCTTACATGCATGCCCGTACAAAATACTTCTGTTGTCAGGAAAAATCCAGCAGGCTAGGACATGGAGATTATTTACTGACCTGATAGCAAATCTTAAAGTTATCAGAGTTTGTTCAGGTAGATGAAGAGAAAATTAGTCATTTGCATATGATTCCAGACTAACTGCCATAAATATGAGAGTTACTAATAAATCCAACAATGAATTCAGGCGAGCAGTTAAATTGTGTAACTTACTCCTTGATGTGAATATTATAGATACTTTTAAGGGGAAACTAGATAAGTAGATAAGAGAAGAAAGAATAAAAGGATAATAAGGGCAATGAAGAAGGGCGGGAGGAGCATTAACATAAAGGTTAGATCCATTGCCAAATGGCTCATTTTTCTGTGTTGTAAACATTATGGAAATGTTGCTTGTAGTATTTTACATCAGCTTATAGGAATTCTGTTTTTTATTACAGCCCTTGATTTGCAGCAATGTGGAATTTCTAATAAAGGAGCCAAAGCTTTGCTTGATATCTTGCAGACCAGTAGTACTCTAATTGTATTGGATGTTAGAAAAAACCCATTAACTGGTGAGTTTCATGTTAGAAATGACATTGCTACACAGTATTTTTGTTTAAGTTATTATACTTTTCGTGTCCTTAAATGTCTTCCCACATTCAACCGGAGTGAAGTAAGACAACGCAGCTGAGAACAGTTGCTGGTTAGGAAGTATTATTATTTTATGAACATTCCCATACCTTTGGCATAGTTTGTAAATGCAGTGAAGTGTAGAATTTGCAGTATCTTTTGCTTTTAAATCTCCCTTAATGTGATAAACTGCAGCACTTGTTACATTTTAGGCTTCCTCCCAATGTTCTTTATTTATTCTATCTGTTTATAATGCCCATGAATTGCAACTTAGACCTTGTGGTTGAATCGAACAAGTTTAATGTACTAAAGAACTAATAATTACCGTCTTACAGATATGGTACGGCCAGTTGTGCTAGATGTCCATCGAGATCCATTGAATGTGGATGAACCAGGGTTGCTCAGCCTTTTTGCGTGCGGGGCCACAATTTTCACACTTGAGGCACCAATGAGCACATTTTCGAAAGATTAGTTTTAGCACAGTAGTAAACATGAATTTCAAAGTGAAAGTTGAAGTATGAAGAAACAGCCTGCTTTAGCAAAACTAAAGTCAAAGCAATAAAGCGATAATTTTAGAAATGTGTAATTAATAAAGATGATGATTGAAAAGTTGCAAGTAACAGAGCAGGAGAGAACCTATCTGGGCTCTTTAAGTCCTGATCACCAAAGAAAGGGACAGGGACTGAGGCTGAGCTAAGGAGTTTGCTTTAGTTGATAGTAACTGTGTGCTCGCCTCTAGTGGCAAACACTATGAGCTCGATGCAATTCATACAAGAATGGGGGGTTGGAAGAAGATGTATTTCAATTTGGGTATTCTCTTCTCATCCCACTATGAGGATAGCTTTTTGGTGAGGGAGCTGGAGAAGACTCACGGTACACATGAGAATGATGGATGGTTTTTGTCCAAGTTGCAGTAATGTATTACTTGGGGATAATTACATTGCTGTGTCAGTACCTTTTTATTTATTGTCAGTGGTAGAAATTGCAAAGTTGGAAGATGCAGTTGAAGTAATCTTGATCAGTTCTTACTGTACAGTGCTGGGACTAAATTTTTTTTCCCCTGCTTTGCCTTACTTCATTGCTTCCACTCTGACTTAGCCCTTGGTTGATAAGGTGGACATTGAATACATGATTCCCCTTGTGGGGCAGTTTAGAACAAGAGGTCATAGATATAGAGTGAGAGGAGGTAGGTTCAACACTAAGATGAGGAGTAACTGTGGAGGACTGTGAATCTTTGGAAGTCACTGCCCCAGGGTGCAGTGGAGGCAGAATCAATCAACAGATTCGGGAAAGAAATAGATAATTTCTGATTAAGAGTGGGATAACGGGCTATGGGGAACAGGCAGGAAAGTGGAGTTCAGACTAGGATAAGATCCGCTATAATTATGTTAAATGGTGGCATGGGCTTGAAGGGTTCAATTTGCCTACTCCTATTCCTAATTCCTGTGTTCCTGTGATACCCTTGGCAACTGCTCTGATCTTTCTTAATGAGGACAGACATTAAGAACATAAGAACTAGGAGCAGGAGTAGGCCGTCTGGCCCTTTGAGCCTGCTCCGCCATTCAATAAGATCATGGCTGATCCTTTTGTGGACTCAGATCCACTTACCCGCGTTCTCACCGTATCCCTTAATTCCTTTATTGTTCAAAAAAAACTACCTTTTTTTAAAAAGCGTTTACTGAAGTAGCGTCAACTACTTCACTGGGCAAGGAATTCCATAGATTAACAACCCTCTGGGTGAAGAAATTCCTTCTCAGTTCAGTCCTAAATCTGCTCCCTCTAATCTTGAGGCTATGCCCTCTTGTCCTAGCTTCACCTGCCAGTGGAAACATCCTCTCTACTTCTTTCTTATCTATTCCCTTCATAATTTTATATGTTTCTATAAGATCCCCCCTCAATCTTCTGAATTCCAATGAATATAATCCCAATCTACTCAGTCTCTCCTCATAAGCCAACCCCCTCAACTCCGGAATCAACCTAGTGAACCTCCTTTACACCCCCTCCAGTGCCAGTACATTAAAGGGCTGGAAGCTGACTGATTTTTCTACCTCAAGTCTATTAGTTTTCTTCCTGAACTTTCCTCCATTGTTCTGATGTCTCGCCCCAGCTTATGCCTTGCTCGGTTCGCACTAAACAACTGCACCTCCCAGTCACGAACCATTTCAACTCCCCCTCCCATTCCTCAGACGACATGTCCATCCTGGGCCTCCTGCAGTGGCACAACGATGCCACCCGAAGGTTGCAGGAACAGCACCTCATATTTCGCTTGGGAACCCTGCAGCCCAATGGTATCAATGTGGACTTCACAAGCTTCAAAATCTCCCCTCCCCCACCGCATCCCAAAACCAGTACAGCTCATCCCCGCCTCCCTAACCTGTTCTTCCTCCCACCTATCCCCTCCTCCCACCTCAAGCCCCAACCCCATCTCGTACCTACCAGCCTCATCCCACCTCCTTGACCTGTCCGCCCTCCCTGGACTGACCTATCCCCTCCCTAACTCCCCACCTACACTCACCTTTACTGGCTCCAACCCCGCCTCCTTGACCTGTCTGTCTCCTCTCCATGTATCTTCTCCTTTATCCATCTTCTATCCGCTTCCCCCTCTCTCCCTATTTATTTCAGAATCCCCTTCCCCTCCCCCATTTCTGAAGAAGGGTCTAGGCCCGAAACGTCAGCCTTCCTGCTCCTCTGATGCTGCTTGGCCTGCTGTGTTCATCCAGCTCTACACCTTGTTATCTCAGAATTAACTTGAACTGCTTTCAGTGCAGATGTATCCCTCCTTGAATAATGAGACCAAACCATACGCAGCACACTGTGGTCTCACCAATATGGTGTAGAACTGTAACAAGCCTTCCATACTTATATGTTCCATCCCTCTTGCAATAATGGCCATCTTTCCATTTGTCTTTGTAATTTATATGTCTGTGTTGTGTACTGAGCAAGCTGTGACTGATAATTTTTGTCGACTAGATAATTCCGGGAGGTCCTGGGAGGCAACATCTATAAGGCTCAAGTCAGGACTGTGATGGAATAGTCTCCATCCAGCTGACAGGATGAGTATAGCTTAAACAACACTCAACAAGCTTGATACCATCCAGAACAAAGCAAACTACTTTTGATTGTCACCACGTCTACAAATATCCACTCCCTCCTCCACTGATATTTAGCAGCTGCAATGTGTACCATCAACCAGATGCACAGCAGAAAGTCACCAAGACTCCTTGGGTAACATCTTCCAAATCCACAACCACTTCCATCTAAAAGGATAAGGGCAGAAATACATGGGAACACCACTAGCTACAAGTTCACCACCAAACCACTCGCCATCCTAACTTGGAAATACGTGACCCTTCCTTCAGTACCGTTTGTTCAAAATCCTGGAACCTCCTCCCTATTGACATTGTAATCTACCTACAGCAAATAGATTGCAGCAGTTCAAGAAGGCAGCTCACCACTACCTTCTCAAGTACAATTAGAGATGTGTAATAAATGCTGGCTCAACCAGTGATGCCCACATTCCACAAATAAATGACGAAAAAGATCACCATTCATTCTTTGAAACTCGCATGAATAAAGACCTAACCTGATCAGCCAGTCTCGCTAAGTTAATCACTTCATCCCAGGAACTATTGTCAATGCCATTATATCCTTTCTGCTGGGTTTCCATGACAGTAGTTACCTTTTCAGTGGCTCAAATGCAACGATGAGAGGGAAATGGCAGCACTCATGACCTGGAGGGACTTCCCCATTGTCTGTGCTAGAGAGTGCTTAATCTTCTGGAGTCAGATCTTTGCACATCTTATAATGCCTCACACTAGTATTCATTGTTTGCCTAAATGAAGACTACAGAAGCATGTGATCTAAGCTTAGATTCAAGTTCCAGGTGACCTGCAACAGTCCTGAGTGCCATTGACCTTAACTGCCACAACTTCTGACAGCTATTAGTTCACTTGGTATTTTGATCCCAAATCTAAGTTTGCATGCATGCTAGTTAGTGGGTGGAGGATGTGGTGGAACAAAGTGACACTGCATTGTCTGAAATCAATTCTTCATCACAGAGGTGAAAAATGTGCGCTGATGTAGGCATTTGATAGGCATTTCCAAACACGAGTCTCCGGAATTGACTAATTTAGATTGATGTATGCACAGTGGATCAAAGTGAAACACTGTCCCTAGTACTCGCCAGTGCTTGTCATGCCTGCCAATGGAACTAGTTGCCTTCCTGTGACAGCTCTGTTATCTCTCTGTCCATAAAGGAGCAGCCTCCATGTTGTTCAGTTTGAGTAGCCTCATGGATATCCATTGGCTAGAAGTGGGACTGTGGCACGAATTAAAGTCAAAAACTTGAATAGGATACCTGTGTCCCTTGGATGAGTTGATGTCCAAGTTGTATCAGTGCACTAACTTCTTAAACTTTATGGCACACATGCCGCATGCCCCCAAACGCGCTATCCCTTCAGTTTAAAATGCCCCCATAGGATTCTAAAGCTAACCACAACTTTAGGGTCTTGAAGATTGATAAGAAGATTGCACTCTTACTAGCATTGTCCTCATCTGGAGAGCATTTTAGAAAGAGTATTTCATTTGATTTAAAATTAAATTGCCTACAGTAGAGTCAGTAGATGGAGCTGGGATATGGTGTTTGTGGGCACAGCAGTGCCACCTGGAATGGTGACTTTGTAAAGTTGGTAATGGCAACTATAGGTAACTACCTACACACATATAGATCTGATAATTTAGTTTGCAAGCAATTCTAGGCATAATGCAATATGACTGACATCTGAAAAATACTGTTGCAGATAGTGTGATGAAGAAGCCTGCACTAGATACAAGATTTTTTATGTAATACAGGCAGATCTTCTGTGGTGTTGCCTAGAGTAAATCTGAATTTTTAAAAAAAATATTCCAAATAGTATTAGTAGGAACATTGATGTACTAGCTTCAGTACAGTCCGGGATCTAGAACACTGGGTGGTGGGTACAGTGGCTCATAGCACTGGGAATAGAAGTCGGTGTCTGGTACTTTTGAAGATTCTGGAGGGTAATAGAGAGAGAAATTTTGGGAATATTAGCAATGGCTAATTATCTGTGAATTCTAGGGACATCTTCCTGGGATCTATTGAGAGTTGAGGAGGGATGTCTGAGAGCAATGGGAATGATTAAGCTACAGTTATAAAGGGCATTCGTGAGACTTTATCTGGAGTAGTGTACGGTGCTGGTAATATGAATGTTGAACTGTTGCAGTGCCAACATCAAGCTCAAGGTCTCCTCCTCAATCGTGGAATATTTCTGTTGATGATTATTAAATTTTCTGGAAAAATACCCAATAGGTCTTTTGACCTTCTTGTTGTCTTCTTGAAGAGGAGAGCACCAGGACCTGCATGGATAGCCAACTTGAATGGCTTCGCATAATTAGATATGGCCAACACTGGGGCCGCGGTTA